GAGGGGGATATTTTTTCTTTTTTCTTAGGTCAAGAAAAGTTCAGGAAAGGAGGGGGGAGGCAGGGAACAGTTTTAAAAGCACTTTTGAAATCTTTTTTTTTCAATGAAGCCAATTTTAAAGCATATTTTAAAGCATGTTGTGCTGATTTTTTCAGCACAAAGACACACAGGCAGGCATTTTAGGTGCTGAACAAGCCTCCCCAAGCCTCTTCAGAGCCAGCCGATCAGCTGTTAGGCGGGGAGAGGAGGGAGCAGGAGCAGAGAAAAGCACAAAATGGCTGCCAGGCTCCCTGCTGGGTGTTGGCTTTTATCTGTTTGCTGCTCTTTTTCCTGCAGTTCGGGGGCTACCAAGGCCTGGTAAGTGACTTTCTTTTATTTATTTTTACATTTCTGACCCTTTTCCCCCCTCCAGAAGCCTCTACGGGGAGGGAGGGGGCACTTTTTTCCTGTTCGTAACTCGAGGGAAGTTCATATGAGTATGTAATTTCCTATTGGGTGGGTTCGTAAGTCGAAAAGTTCGTATGTAGAACCGTTCGTAAGTCGAGACCCCACTGGGTGGGGAAGCCTGAAGGCAACTCCAGGCAGTACCTTTGGCTCCGCCCCAACTGGCTGTGGTATCCGCCCCCTCTCCACAAACCACAATAGGCACCAGCCATCACTGCTCTGCTTAACTCTCTGGAGCAGATTTAGGAAAGGGCTTAGGAGCTGCAAGGCAAGAATGAGACCACTCCTCTGTTAGATGAAAAGAACTCTGGATTTTACCCAATTGTTTTAAAATTGCTGCCTAACAAACTATGAGAGACTCTTTTTTTTAGTTTATCAACTTGGATTTTAAGTCACTGCTGTGCCCAAGGCCTGGCAATAGTGTGATCTTTTTCTCCAGACAACAAGAAACCATTTTGAAATAAGCAAAATCATAACCATGAAGCAACTTGGAAGTTTTCACAGGACCTTGAGAAAGAAAACTCAGCATGTATTAGCTGTAATTTCCCCTTTCACTTCTTAAATTACAGTATAAAAATAGGAAAGCGCTCATTACTATTAGATGTCATACTTTTCATAAGGTATAAAACCTTGCTTGATTAAAGAAAACAGAATAAATACAAACATTCAAACAAGAAACAGCACAGTGCATATACTGTAAATCCCACCAGTGCTCTTCCCACTATAGCCCTCTGAAAATCTGTTTGAGGGACTCTTTCCCACAGGATTACATGGGGATGGCTTGGGTGGCAGCCAAAGGGAAGGGAAAGTTAAGTCCCTGACCCATCACCTCTCTCCATTCATCCAACAGAATATTGGCCAACAAGCATCTCCATGTCTGGACTGGACCCAATGATACAACACAGCTTAATAAAATGTGGTAGGTCGTAATGTTCAGAGGAGCTTCTTGAGGATTCAAATACAGGCCAGTGGAAAATTTCATCTCATGACCTGATGCTTGTGAGAAGATGCTTTGGTTTTACAGAAAGCATTCCAGCAGCTGCAGTCCCTAGTTTTGTAGTATCTATTGACGTCCCAGACCTACATTTTGGAGATCAGCCTCCCCCTGGTGTTCCTTCAGATGTGCTGGTCTATAATTCCGGCCATGATAATGGTAGTTGTAGTTGAAGACATCTGGAAGACATGAAGTTGGGAGAGAATGATCTATTGTCTCCATTGACATGAATGGTCTCTTTGTGAAACCGGACAGAAACAAAAGCTCATTCTTCTCATGGTGAAAGGGATAATTTCCTGCATGTGCAGAATTTTGCACAGAAACTACTGACTGACATAAGAACTTGAGAATTTTACTTCCTTCATTATATACTCAGAGAAACCAGTATTTGAAATCAAGTCCAATGTTGAGAAGGCAAGCTTCTTTTCAACTTGGTTCCCCCTTCACAGCCATTCCAAGCCAAGTGTTTTACTCAGAAATCAATCCCTCTACCTTGAACCCAGTCTTAATCATAATTAGAATAGAGCCATTGTAATCATGTCAGCCATGATGTTTGTGGGTCTAATCCAGCCCAATTATTCCATGGAAATCTCTGCAAACTCACACTACAAGGAAAAATGCAAATGTTTCCACTGCCCCATCACATTCCCCTTACCAACATACCTTCTATTGCTTTGTCACTTACTTGTCTTTTTCTTTGTCACTAATATAGATTAAATTAAGAAGTTATGTCAGTTCACCCAGCTTTTCAATCATTTGCACAAAACAATGAGCTTGAGCGAAAAAAATTAATCTGCCTGCTTAGTTTTTCCCAACTTCTAAAGATGTATAGCCTGTAAATTCAAACTGGATTTAGTTCAGAGTTTTAAGAGGCCATCATAAACCTCCCATAACCTTTAAAACAAATGACAAATTCACCTCCACAAATATCATGATTCTTCCAATCTTGGAGGGAGAGCTGCGGGGGAGAAATCATATCTTTTCCCTATTACTTTTCGGCACCGATTCTCTTTCCAAATGGTAGGCTCTTCACATTAGAGAGCAGGGGCAGCCCAACAACAAATCCTGAATCCTGTCCTCCCAACCAGAGTCAACATCAACGTGCACAGTGTCTTAAGCTAGTCTGTTTTTTAGGCCTCTGAGGCAGAACACCTCACCCACACCTCTTCCCAATTCCTGACAGTAAAAGTACAACCCTAATAAATTCAACCACTGTTCATTTGTTGTCCTTTCACAGAACCAAACACTCTGCCTGGGGTAGCCGCCCAACACTCGGATCTGCCCTGCTAGCAAGGAGAAGATATACACAGCTGTTCGGCCTAATTCTCCTTAACAGATTTCCTGTGTCAAGGAATAAACAGGCAGCAGCAGGAAAACCAAGTCTGAATCATGAGTGGAAGATGAGCAAGGATGTTGTTTGGGTCCGAGTCGCAAGTCTGAATCCAAGTCTTTGGTACCAAGTCCCGAGTAAAGGTAAAGGTTCCCCTTGACAATTTGTCCAGTTCTGTCTGATTCTAGGGGGCGGTGCTCATCTCCGTTTCCAACTCACAGAGCTAGGGTTTGTCCGAAGACAATCTTTTGTGGTCACGTGGCCAGCACGACTAGACACGGAACGCCATTACCTTCCCACCGAGGTGGTACCTATTTATCTACTTGCATTTTTGCATTTTGCATGCTTTTGAATTGCTAGGTTGGCGGGAGCTGGGACAAGTGACAGGGGCTTACTGAGTCGCGTGGATTCGATCTTACGACTGCTGGTCTTCTGACCTTGCAGCACAGAGTCTTCGGCAGTTTAACTCGCAGCACCACCATGTCCCTATTAAATCCCACCAAGAAACCACTAAGTCCTGAGTACCACGCCTCAAGTCTGAGTCCCTATTAAAAACAAGCTTTTCCACCCCAGGGAGGGGGAACAAAGGAAAGGTGGGTAGGTTCCAAGTCAGAGCCATTGAGGGGGGAAAAACTGTGAAATCCGAGTTGAGTCCGAGTCGAGTCGCCAGGGGAACTTAATGTCCAACTTGACAGCGAGTCGCACAACTTGAATCCCCATCCCTGAAGATGAAGTCTCTGAAGCCAATGCAAAACTTCAGTGACTGGAGACAGGTGGTGGCATGACAAAAGCCTCAGATGAAACTGCTCTAAGTAAAGCCTCCATTATTTTCTATTTTCCTAAGCAGAACCTACTTCTTCCCAATAAAATGGCTGCTCTGAAAACCAAACAACAATGCACTGAGGAGTAGGGACAGCACTCTCTTCCCTGATCTGGTAGACTATGCTATAAATTTTTCGAAATCCTCTTGGTTTTTTAAATAAATCTATTCAGTACTGTTAAACTCAAATATATGTTCAGATGAGTGATTCTGTGGGTCAGTTAATTCATACTAAATATCCTAAATCAGTGCAGATTAAAACGAACAAACAAATAAATCCTTCTCCTTTGTGGCTTTCTTAAAATCAGTTGGCATAGTTAAGAAGAGAATCCACAAAAATATTCACATAGTTAAAAAAAGAAGATTAAGACTTGCCCCTGCCCCACAGAAAAAAAACAACTCCCCCACCCAACTCCAGATCAGTCACTTAATTTAATGACTTTCTCATCAATCCAGCCAAGTTTACCAATAAATAATTCCTATTGAGTTCAACCAAGTTTTGGCCCAAGAAGGTGTGAGAGCCAAGGTGGTAGACTGGATGAAAAGTTGAATTAGGATTCAGGAAACCTGGGTTCAAATTCCCCACTGGGACCTGGAAGCTCAATGGTAAACCACTCCTCAAACATCTTACTTTCCTTAAAAACTCTATTACGAGTCACCATTAACTGAAAGTGACAGCAGGTGTGCAAGGACTGTAACTCTAATACATTAAATTGTAATGCAGTAAGTAGCCCTGTACAAATTTATGGAGAGGTAAATAAATTTGCATTAAACCAAACAAGAGAAGCGATGTTTCTCTTTTGCAGGTGGCTGTTACCACTCACAGAGAATGAATCGGAACATTCATTGGTGTTCTAGAAGTTTCTTTGGTCTTCTAGAAGTTTCAAATCTCTGTTTCTGTGATCCCTTACTGTTGGGCCATGCTGGCTAGGGCTCCTGAGGGTTGAAGACCAAAACAACAGTGAAAGGCCAATGATTCTCAGGGCCTGTGCTAGAAAGGAAGAGGCAAATTTAGGACTCAGATTTGGAGAACAACCACCACAGAACCCCAATTCCATAATATATTTGGGTAGAGTGACTATTCAGGGCTAGTCTCAGGACTGACTGAACATGCTGCTCACTCAGAGTTCTGGAACATGTATTGTTCTCAGTTTGATGCCATTCACTCTATCTGCTTATTCTAGGTGGTGGTGATTTCTCACAACTCCAAGCTGACTTGACATTTTATTTATTTATTTATTTATTTATTTATTTATTTATTCATTCATTCATTCATTCATTCATTCATTCATTCATTCATTCATTCATTCATTTATTTATTTATTTATTCATTCATTCATTCATTCATTCATTCATTCATTCATTCATTCATTCATTCATTCATTCATTCATTTATTTATTTATTTGCAGAATGCCTGTGATGAGCATAGAGTTCCTGAGTCTGAGGAGATTTTGGCTATACATCATGTACCACAGTGTCAGAGCCAGTCCATTACTGGATATCCAAATGACTTGAGTCGTTTCTCACATATGTGGTCCACTGGGGATGGGGCTCTGTGCCTCTGTCCTCCACCCTCTGCTAATTTGCAGCCCAGACATATTTCCATGAACACCCACACAGGACTAATGACAAACGTCTTCATATATGTACCTCAAACTTTTCTTCCACTTGTTACAACTAGAAGCATGTAGTTTTTTAAATTACTAGAATATTTTGATGAAAGTATGAAAAATAAACCCAAACAAACCAAGAAACCACAGTTCAGCAAGAAGGATGTTGAGTTTAGATTAGTCCAAAGGATAAACTGAAATATCTTGTTGGTCATAACATTTCTAGACATCTGCAGCTTACACATAGACAAGGTGGTTGCTAGGCTGTGCTGTGATCCATCATGGCTTCTTGGGACAAAATGGAGGCTTGGGCAGGTGGGAATGTGAATCATGAACAAATACCATGTGATCAGTGAAGTCACCACATTTAAACAAATATGATTAGGTAAATTCTCCTTAAGCTTGTATTAAATGTTAAGGGTTTCTGAAAAACCAATAAATACAAACATCTGGAAACATTGTGCACTCCAGCTCTCTGAGAAGGCTTCCTCTGATATCACACTGTATCAATCTCATACACAACAGTTGAGGGTGATGTGTAATCTTTGAAAATGTATCTTCTCATTTTTCCTGAGTCAGCTGACGACTCTCACATGGGATGTTGTCTGTCTGAAGAGACTTGGAGACTTGGTGTAAATCCCGGATAGATCGGACAGTCCACTGAGCAAGTTCCTGCAACACCTTCATGCCTCTCACTTTTTTCTCAAACAAGCCCTTTCCGTTGCTGCCTTTTGTGCTTTCCAACTCTTTGGCAGGCACTTTGTGTTTCAACACCACCATGAGTTCCTCCAGTTGGTAAGCTAGAGCAGAGACCTGGAGTATGACTGACTGGATAGATTCGTGGAAAGCGACATCTGTCGGTGTCAGATTAGACCTCTGCTCTTCCAGAATTTCATCCAGTAAAACCTGAAAGGCCCAGTAGGTCTTCAGGTTGTCTCCCAGCCTCTCAGCATCGGAAAGCTCACCCCAGGACTCGGCATCAGCTACGGGCACACCATCGATTGAGTCCAAGTTGAAGTTTGCATCCAGTCCTTGCTTCTCCACCTGAAAGGATGTAGGTTGGAAAGTAGGGTGAGGGAAAACAGCAGTTTTGAGGTAGACTTTGCATATTTTTGTTGTTCTCTCTCTCTCTCTCTTTCTCTCTCAGGACCTGAGCGCTCAGACCTCCCTGTCAATAGAAATACTATGTCGACCCCTAGAAGGACGTAGTGAGCACAGGTATACCAGTTCTATGTTTCTTTGAAGAAAATAAACCACAATTAAACCAACAACGGAAAGGACTCCCCTAAGAACAGGATGACATAAATCTCATTCATGAAGAGAAGACTAAGGACTGCTAAGAAAGAGCCAGGAATAGATTATTTGGACCAAAGCACGAGGGTCGCTGGTAACACGTTGATCAAAAGGCTAAGAGAGACCAAGTATCGTTTGCCAAGTGCTCCCTTCTATACCGTCATTAATCCATCCAAGGTATGTCTTTAAAGACCACATCATAAGGAGCTGCCTCATACCAGACCAAGTACAGGATTTTGTGGCGTTATGCTTGTCTGGGATCCTTATAAGAAGCAGGGTTCATTTTTTTATGGAAACAAGAAACTGTTGGGCTCAGACCTTATTGCTGGATAAGAAGATTCATGCAGACCGGGGACATTCCTTCATATGTTTCACAGATCTATTGTGACTGTTCTATACTTAACTTAGTAGCTAGCTAAAATGATTAACAGAAACCATTTAAATATTAAATAAAGCATCAAACCTTTCTGCTTGCTTTACTTCTATCATTCTTAGGCATTATTCTAGACTACAGTAAATCTTAAAAAACACCATGAGAGCATCATCTGAATGTCTACAGAGCCCTCCTTCTCTAGACATTATAAGGATAGTACAACTTCAACACTAGGCCATTCATCGACATCAGATCAGTTTCTGTTTTTTCCTTCCATGCCTCTAACTTTGCTTTTTGTAACTAATGGGACAATTTTCATGCTTCTGAAAATTTGCAAACATTTGTTGTACCTTATGGATTTGAGATTTCTTTTTAATGTTCTGATGCAATTACATTGCATTGTGCATTGAACTGAATGGGTCTCATTGCAGTCAAAATACAGGATAGCCTTCAATATACAACAAAAATAAAAGTCCATGAGCACAAGTCTCTCCCAGATACTGCTCTGAAATCTCCAAATGACAAGGAAAAGGTGCAGGGGTTGGGTGGGAATAATGTGGTCCTTACATAGTCTGAAGGTCATTTCTCCTCAACCAATCCTTTGTAACCTGATTCAGTTCACAGGATGAGAGAGATTTTTTGGTGGTCTAATAAAGTTTCACCTACTCTTGTTTCCAAAAGACAAGTTCAATGGGAAAAGTTGTTTTTACCTGCCATCTCCACAAGATGGCACTGTATTATAGAAATCTAATGCCCCCCCCTTTCCCAACCTGGTACAGTATACCACAAAATAATACAATGAAGCTAGTCTGCCTAGGCTCTTGGTAAGGAGGAAGAATCTACTTCTTACCTCAGTAGACTGCCCAAAGTATTCTTTCCAGGATAATCAGTTGGTGAATTTCTCCCATGCGCATGATAAAATAGACTGCCAGAAAGCTTGGAGGGGGGGGGACTAGGTGGGTGGGGTTCTTTTTCCAGATCAAATCTTGCTTCTTATCTTGATTTATCTCTGGTCCACAACATGCAGCCTGACAGGATTCCTGAATTATCTACAGCACTCTGCTCTGCACCTTCCTGCCACAAAACGTTAACTTGAGTTGTGGGTGGGAGGACAGTTCTGCCTTTGGGCAAGGTGGTGGCCTTTTGTCCATGCCAGTTATATAAGTCTGTGAACTAGTGATTCACCTCATGAATTGTTAGAAAGAACACTAAAAGGTTGTTTTCAGAAAGTGGGGCAAGGAGAAAGAGCAAGGCTAGCTTTCCTCCCCAACAGATGAGATCTAGCTAAAAACAAGCTTGAGGAGACAGCTTAGGGGTTTTAAACTAGAATAAGTTAAGTAACCCATTATGTGTGGAAGGATGCATCAAATCCCTTATTAGGAACCACTACACTTCTATATAAGCATGAATAAGATGCTCTTTGCTCAGTTACCTAAATCTCACACCAGGGCCAGTTCCACCAGACTAAAATGTTTAGCTGTGACTTTGGAAATCCAGGTCCTAGTTCCCACAGAGTTATGAAACCCGCTGGGTTTGAGCCTTTGCAGGATTGTTGTTGCAGGGACCTTAAAAAATAGACAAAGGGGGAAGGAGGGCAGGAGCCATGCACCATGGATTCATTGGTGGGATGGCAAGATACAAAAGTAACTAAAGCTAACCTACATGGTCTCCCTTGCAGCCTAACAAAAGCTACAACCCCTCAGAAAAACTGGACTCCAAAGTCATCTCCTTCTCTAAGGGGCTCAGCCTCCCATTCACCCAACAGAGGAAAAGATCTAGAACCTCGTCACTATTAAGTGACAGAGGAGGACACCCAAAAGAAGAGACTTACGTAGGACTCCAAGAGGCTGCAGACATCTGAGCGCATCTTCCTCAGGAGATATATGGTGGGGTGGCAGAGCCCAGGGTGTTGAAAGGCCACAGGGGGCTTCTCTGAGGAAGCCATCCAGCTGCTGGTGAGCTGACAGCTGTAACTGAGGCTCACACAACTTGCACAAGGCTGTGTGACCACAAAAATTCCTTGCTCAGCTCATGCATTCCAGACCACGAAAGAATTCCCTTCTTGTGCACTCTCTCTCCCCCTCTTCTGTCCTCAGCAGTCTGAGGAGAAATGGTAAATTCCTGGCAGTAGATCTTACGTCTCTGAGATTAACAAAGGCACCTTTTCTCCCTGCTCTCCTCCAACCACTTCTTATAAACTGTGTAGACGCAAAGTTGCTTGCTCCCATACGCTCCTTTCAATCTCTATTCCACAGTGTAGCTTGCTTGTCACCTCCCCTTCTCTTTATTGTTCTTCCCTGCTTTTATTTTGATTCGCTTGTAGCCAGGTCAGCATCCTGCTAATCCCTGTAAATTCAATGCTGCAAAGCCCAACAATTCATGATGAAAGCAGAAAAAAACCTGAGTCACACCACTGACCCACCTTTCACAGATTTTTTTTTTTATTATTGAACTGTGAAATCGTTCTGCTTCATTACTCCAATGCCATTCAGCACATTGTTCTGGGACAGTGTTGGTAATGCAAATCCTTTCAGCAAGTCCTGATTTAATTGGTGTCACTGCATTGTCAAAATGCCTATTGTAGCTTCAGAAAATGTAGAACAAACAGTCTTCTGGGTTCATAATAGCCTCAATACTTAACACTTTCCCCCACTTTAGCTCTTCCTTCCCATGACATTCCTGTGAGGAAGGGTCAACTCCCTGAAAGCAACTGATGGAAAAGGTCAGTTTCAGGGCCCAATGAACTTGAACTTGGATTAATGTCCCAAGTTCCAACTGGGGTCTGTAACCAGTACATCACTTTGACTCATCCTGGATAACAGCTCCATATACAAGTCCTCCATACAGTGCTATGGAACCTGTGTGACCCTTTAGCTATTAATTGCTAGACTGCAATTCTCATTAGCCCCTGCCTGTAGTAGAACCAGCCATGTATGATGATAGAAGTTGCAGTCCAAAACATTTGAAGCTGGTGTTTGGTGTCAGTAAGGAACTGGATGAGGGCGCAAAAACTGAAACTTAATCCATGTAAGACAGGGGTGCTCCTGGTCAGTCAAAAACCAGATCAGGGAATAGGGTTGCAGCCTGTGCTGGATAGGGTTACACTTCCTCTGAAAACACAGGCATGCAGATGGGGAGTGTTCCTGGGTTCATCTCTGAGCCTGGATGCCCAGGTTTCAGAGGTGGCCAGGAATGCCCTTGCATAGTTAAAACTAGTGTGCAACCTGCACCCATTTCTTGAGAGATCTGATCTGACCACGGTGACACATGCCCTAGTTACACCTCAGCTGGATTACTGTAGCATGGTCTATACGGGGGTGCCATTGGAAAGTGTTCGGCAACTTCAAAGGGTCTAAAATGCTGCCACCAAACTGTTAACTGGAGCCGGTGACAGGGAACATGTAACACCCCTCTTATAACAGCTCCACTGGCTGCTGAACCTTTTCTGGGCACAATTCAAGGTGTTGGTTTTAACCTACAAAGCCCTTAACGGCTTGGGTCCAAGCTGTCTAAAACAATACATCATCTCTCTGAGTCTACCTGGGCATTAAGATAATCAGGGGAGGCCTTTCTCTCACTCCTACCACACTCACAGGTGCACTTGGTGGGGACACAGGAGAGGCCCTTCTCTGTCGCTGCTCCCAGACTCTGGAACTCCCTCCCTTCAGAAGCCAGGCTAGCCCCATCTTTGCTATCCTTTCACAAGCAGGCAAAGACCTTTCTCTTCAGGCAGGCTTTTCCTTGCTCCGTGGTCTGAGAGGGGTTTTAAATGGACCGTTATGCTCTGTTGTTTTAAATGTGTTTTGATATTGATCATAGTTACCATTTTGATATACTTGTTTCTTTTTCAGTATTTGTATACTTATTGTTTTAGCTTTTAAATACTGTTTTAAAGACGTAAGCTAGCTTGGGTCCTTCTGGGGAGAAAGGTGGCATAGAAATATTTTTTTAAAAAAATAAAATAAGCCCAGCTCAACTCATACTCCTTATATTTTAAAAATGAGATGTTGCTCTGTGTTCCTCCATACAAATGAAGGATATTGTGGTTGCCTTCACTTGTATAATCTGACACTTTCGCCATGTAGGGTCTCTCCTGCTTGACACAAGGTCACAGACAAACAATTTTAGCATCAGCTCCAATTCAGAGCACCCCTGAAAAGCAACTGCTTCTGCACTGCTCAAAAACGTCTTAACATGGTGACCTTCCCCGACTAACTTTCAGATGTGGAGGACCATCGCCATCCCTAGCTAGGATGGCCATAGGCCGAAGATAGCGAGAGCAGGGAGCCTGTGTGAAGGTAAAGCAACCTATAGCAGCTGCACAGAAACTCTGTGAGAGCAAGCTATGTTTAGCCTTTTATTTTCTTACTGTGCTGCAGAGATGGCCTGCTCCATATTTATACAGTGGGATCTTGCAATAAAGTGTTGCAGGAAACTCTCAAACACCCAAAAGAACAATCCTCTTCAGGAATCTAAAAACAGTGTAAAACAGCAGCCTTCAGCCTGTACTGAGAAAAGAGCTTTGGATAGGGAGAAGAAAGGATTGTTTTCCTCGCTGCTCCATCTCAAGGCCTATGTAGTGTTAAATTTATTTATTTATTAGATTTAGATGTCTACTCTGGGCGGCTTGCAATAAAAATATCATAAAAACAATTAAAACAGCAAATTAAATCAAAAATATTTGTATCATTCAAGATGGAAAAATATAGACAAATATAATAAAAAGTAAAAGTCAAATATTGACAGGAGGGAAGGCCTGCTTAAAAGCCAAGTCTTTAACTGGCTCTTAAAAACACCCAGCATCAATGTAAAGGAATCACATTGAAGGTTGGTTGTTGCATACCTGGAGTAGTAGTTTTGGAGCATGGGAAAAACTATCCCTTTCAAGTTTTGTTATCTGAAAAACCCTTGTAGGGTTCCTGGACAGGAATTGGCTGTGGAGCCAGAGGTTGGAAGTTCGATTCCCCACTGCATTGCCTTGAAACGGCTGGACTCAGTGATACATAGCGTTCCTTCCAGCAATGAAGTTTGAAGATGATGATAAAAATGTATATTTGTGAATAGAAGGGACAAGCACCTGTGAGAGAAAGTAGGGGAGGTGTTTTCAACCAATTCTGCCTGTACTTCCCGGCACCATCTCCCACACTTGTTCTACATCAGTGGTTCTTAACCTAAGTGATATCACCCCCCCCAAGGGGTGATTTTGTTTTTCAGGGGGCGATGGAATTAAAAGGGGCGATGCGGGGGGCGAAGGAACAGAAGGGGGGTGGTTCTTTCATTTTTTCCTCTTTGGGTATTTGATGCGCACTGATGCTGGTGGCTAAACTGCTGCACTGCAGCCAAAACTGTGCTCATGACCTGGGGTTCAATCCCAGGTAGCCGGCTCAAGGTTGACTCAGCCTTCTATCCTTCCGAGGTCGGTAAAATGAGTACCCAGCTCGCTGGGGGGGGGGCAATGTGTAGCTGGCATAATTAACTTGTAAACTGCCCAGAGAGTGCTTGAAGCAGTATGGGGCAGTACATAAGCAGCACATTTCGCTTTATATAAGCAGCACGCTTTAAATTGCATCCCTGCCTCTGGAACTCCCTCCCACTGGAGGCCAGGCTGGCCCCATTTATTGCTCTCCTTCCATGACCAGGCAAAGACCTCTCTCTTCAGGCAAGCCTTCCCTCAGTAAACCAGCTTCCCCGTGTGTGATTTTTAGATAGCTTGCTATTCATTACTGTTTTGATTCGATTTTTAGTACGGCGGCGGCGGCGCCCCCTCCCACCACTTCTGCACTGGCGCCACCAGGAGGGGGGCAATAACTTCCTCAATGGCTCAAGGGGGCAATTCTTTCAAAAAGGTTAAGTACCACTGTCCTGGATGACCTTCCAACCATCTAGAACAGCATTTCAGGGGGTTATTCCCCCAATCTCCCTAGCTTCAAGCAGCAGGGGTGGCCGTGGGCATCTATTCACAGGGAAATGTTTGTATTCCATTAGTAGAGGGATGGGGTATCTTTTGGCTCTCTGAAAGCTGCATGCAGCATAGTCATTGGTAAATGACATGGAAGTGGCAGTCCAAGCCATTTGAAGGAGCAGTCTATTTATTTATTTATTTATTTGATTTATATCCCGCTCATCTGGTCTATTCGACCACTCTAGGCGGCTTTTCATTTTTCTATGAAATTTCCTGAATTGTTAGGAGCTTGGAAAATGTTATTTGGGAGCAGAATTAAAATTGCAAAACAAAAATTCAGTGCAAGCCTCTACAATGAACGATTTCCAGGGCACTAATTGAAATACTTATCAGATATTGACATGCAAAGAGGGGGAAGAACTGTGAACCACAAGGATGGTATCTTCTTGGCCAACTCTCCAACAGTCTACAGACCTTTGCATGGTTTTGAAAGCTTGAGCCAGAAGTCTGTGGGAGGATCAACCAACCCAATGCCCAGATGTTATTAGGCTCAAAGGATACAATTCAGTTAGCACTTTCCTAGAAAAGAGGCTTCCCTTAGATTCTGGAAGATGATCTATCATATAGGTGCTTTAACTCAGATTGTATCATGCATTACAGCAAGGTTCACTTCATGATTAGTCAGCAGACGATAAACACAGGTCCACCTATGTTTGAATGCTTTAGTCTTGTGACTCCTTACAAATCTTGCTGTGGGAGACAGACCAAACATAAGCAAGATGCACTTTTAAAAATGTACAGTGTACAGTGGTGCCTCGCAAGACGAGCGCTCCGTTTTACGATGAAATTGCATAATGATGAAGTTTTTTGCGATCGCAAACGATGTTTCCTATGGGGGAATTTCGCTTTGTGATGATCGGTTCCCTGCTTTGGGAACCGATTCTCGCAAAACAACGATTTTCCTACAGCTGATTGGCGGTTTCAAAATGGCCAGCGGGTAAAAAAAAAATGGCCGCCCGCTGTTTTCTGGGACGGATTCCTCGCTGCACGGGCAGCAAAAATGGCCGCGCTATGGAGGATCTTCGCTGGACGGTGAGTTTCAAGCCCATAGGAATGCATTAATCGGGTTTTAATGCGTTTCTATGGGCTTTTTAATTTCGCCTCACAATGTTTTTGTACTACAGCGATTTTGCTGGAACAAATTAACATCGTAATGCGAGGCATCACTGTATTTTGACTGTTACTGTTGAAGATATGAAGACTTTTAGATATTAAAGCCACGTAAGCTATAGTACCTCGTTTCCATGGCAAACATGGACTTGTCCCAAATAATATCTGGCCCAATATACACAAGGATCTGGTTTTCCACAAGATGAGAGTGATCCATGCATACAAGAGCTGAATATGACTCCACTGTCAGAGACAAAATATTTGGGCATTGTGCTATTGTCAGCATCGATGGGACTGGCTTTGATAGTTTGTTTCCAAAGACTTTATAGATCCAGATGCCTTCCTGAAATCTAAGATTTTCTCACAGATTTTTGCCAAATCTAAACTGATAAATGGAATGAGCCAATAGCTGAGGTGCAGCATCAGTGGTTAAAAACTTTGAACAAAACATAACCAAACATAGGGCTAGAATCTATTTTGTTATTCTATATTTTAAATGCACTCCTCACCTTCTATCTAAAAAGTTTGAGGTAGCATATGTGATTCACATCCCTATTTTAATCCTCATATTAATTGAGGTAGGTTAGGTTGAGAGACAGCGACTAGTTCAAACTCATTTAGTGCCCCCTTCAAGTCTGAATGGGAATATGAACTTGTTTCTTCAACACTTGTCCAACAGTGTAACCACGGCATCACATTTGCTGTGGACATACTTTGTGGCAGTAGTAATTAGAGGCGTATCTAATATGGTCCACCAGAACATCGGGGAAACAATTGAAAACCCTTCATAATCAATTTGTAACACACTTTGCAGATAAAATGCCCACATCAGGTCCAATGTAAACACCATTATCCACAGAGGCCACCAATATAGTGGCTGCTTGTACAATTGAGACCAATCATTTACTCCTTGGATCCTTGCCCATGATGGGTTCTGAAATTTGTTCAACTGAAACAGAAAAACCTTTACCTCCAACACCCATAACAAATGAATACATATAGATTGCTTAAGATGGATGGCTTGTAGTGCTACCTATGAAGACATTGTGAAGGGATTCCCTCTGTCCCTCAGTGGATTCTACACAGTAAAACATAAAGATGAAAGCTTCAGTGGGAAAGTGGGAGGGAATCATAATTGGAAGTCATGGTTGCCAGGAACTAATCCTGCCCCTGTAAAATTCTGTGAATGAGAGAAGAAATATGGCACAATATGCCTCATCTGGAAGGCACACCCAAGTTTGCCTTTAAGACCCTAAAGAAATCCCAAATCAAACACCTTAATCCATTGTTACAAACCATTCAAAACAATGCTAATCACTAAAACACAGTGCAAGGCCACACAAGAATTTTTAAAGTGGGAGTAATTTACATAAGGGAAAAAAATTAAAGCAGATGGGAATTTCTGCACCACACCAATCACTAAGTAGACTGAATGTGATCTGCAGAGGCCTTGTGGGTGTAAATTCTTCCACTACTATACCCTGTCTTTTACACACACACAGACACCCCAATAGCACTGCTGGTACACAATTGGTACAAAATTTTTCGGCTGACCGTAGTTACCATTTGTATACCACAATAACGTCCATTATTTGTGTAAGGTAATATATATTTTATAAACATAGCAATGTAACAGCGATAAATGGTTTGTTCTTGCCACTGAAAAATCAAGTAGCAGCCTATATTATGTCACGTTTACAAGACCATAGGAATATTTAAAAGGTCACACCTTGGCACTTCTTTCTAGCCCACTCCTCTCAGATGCACCGATTCATCCCCCCAGCACTTGTCATAGGCAAATTCTAAAGATACACTTTCAGTAGTCCTGTGCCTGTGTAATTATGCAGTGTTTCAGGAGTTACAGAAATGAATCGCATTTCAATATTACCCATCCCAGGCCTTCCCTGCGCAACATAGAAGTGGTGCTCTTTCTTTCAGCGGAGACATTCCTGAAGATGCTGTATTTAGTCCACATGCTTGTTTGCTTCATCCACAGGCATTCTTCAGTTGTATGGGATTTTTCCAAAAAGGTACTATGCTGGGGATACACTGACAGCAGTGTCCTGCACATTTGCACATTCTGAATATAGTCAGCATGCAAGAAGACAAAGAATATTTCCCCTGTGTTTATTTTGATAATTGCTTACTCAACTGAAAGACAAGAGATGAAAAACAGTGTCCCTTTTTATTGTTTTATTTCCTTTTGTATACACAACCTTTTATCAATATGGATCACTGCCCCTCCCCCGACACCCCCCAACCAAATCTCCACCCTCACTTTGTGGAAATTTTTATATGCAACAAGGCTTTTAAGCAATCAAAGACTTGTCAACTCAACCATCCCTCCACTTAACACTAAAAAATAGGGGTGTGCCACAATGCAACACAGCTCTGTTGCCACCCAGTGGCTACTACTTCAGGTAGTTCTGCTAAGTACTGCAAATCCTACCCCTTGTCTGGTAGGATTCACAATGCTAGAAGAGTTTCCCCCAGTACTTCACTATCATCCTGGAAAGCTTCTCCATGGATTTAGCAGTTCTCCCCCTCCCCTCCCACCAAAGGCTTCAGTATGCTGCCATTATTCAGTAACTATTTGAAGTAGATGGACCATTTATCATACACTAAGGATTAATCCTTTAAAAACTCCTGAGCTTCCTATACTCATCAGTTCTATTTTGCTGCTGTTCTGACAAAACGCTGAAAGGAAAACATGTGCTCGTCTAGCAAACAAGCTTAGTTCAATCACTGGAGGGGGTTTCAGATCATCCCCTATACAGTACTAATAAGGGGATCCAAGGCTAACAGAGCCAGAATGAAGTTACAAATACATCAAGACTATGGGACTGCATCTGGAGTGGGTTTATGTAAAATTAGTTACTGTAAACTACCTCATATTACAGAGAAGAGATTATACAGCTTCAACCCCCAGCACCATGCTTCTTTCCCATGGGAAAAAAGCTTACTAGAAAAAAATATATAGTTTATTGCAACTGCTATAATAACTGAATGAAGTAAAACTGCATGCGTATGGTGGGAGAGACATTAAAGGGAAGCAGCAGGACCATTTTATGTCAGGACAAATGGTTTTCAGCTTATACACCTAAAACAGAAACTATCTACTCTAGAGTGCAAGGGACTGTCCTAGATAAACATAAAACTATGTTACTTTTAACAAAACCACATACAAACTTAACCCAATGAGAGAGAGAGACCGACTAACAGAACTATCTAGGAAAGGTAGACAAGAGGCTGACAGTAATTCAAGATGGAAAGGACTTCAAGTAAATTGCCAGCTACCTATCAACAGCCTCTTTTCTTAAACTTAAACAAGTCACTTCTGCACTAGAAGAGAATCTGTATTATGATTCGATCTTACTGGTAAAGCAGCAAAATATTGCACACTCTAGCCAATATGGATGGCAGTCTCCTCAACAGTGTGCAAAACAAGCTTTTTACTGCAAAAGATTGCTAGTCTTTCTGGTGCCAATCTCAATCATGAAGTAAGTAGCTCATGTGAGTCTTCTACAATAGGTAACTCCTAGTGTGCATGCAATACACCAGTAATGTATTGCAGCCCAACTAGTTGCTGACAAACCTGCGGCCAGACTGCAAAAACTAAAGGTACCAGGTTGCAACAGACCACTTCTTATAGTCTGTCAATGTTCAGCTTCCAGAGCTAAGTAAACAAATCAACTACTAGCCAAACAATTAGAACTGCTACAAAGAAATATGGCTGGGTATGTATTAATGTTGGCTAGTGCCACACAAGAGGGTTCAGTTCAGACCTACAGGAGGTAACAGCAATAAACAAAAAGGCATCAGTCCTTAGCCATGATTAATCCCAACAGAACTCAACTGCGTTTTTAGCTATAGGAATATTAGCCACTAGAGAGAAGACTAATCACCAGGGTATTCTGCCACAATGAGCTTGAAATAATAGCTAAAAGTTCATGCAAATTACGAGCTGGTAAGTTGAGTTTAGTAAATTATGAGCTGATTAGAAGTGTCACACTATTTTTCTAAGCCCTCTACAAAATTCCAGGCATGTTTCACCCTCTATTAATGCCCAAGCCACCAAAATTCACAGAAACAAGAGGATATGTGCCTCGCAGTTGTTCCTCCCCAATGCCAGTTTTGTCTGTAAAGATGTCTTAAGAAGCAGACTGTCTTAGAAGATGAGTTACTAGCAATTAACAGAACAGATGCTGCGCTTAGTGGCATTTAGCCCACCAAAACTAGAGGGAAATGCAAACCTAACAATGCAACACACATAAGCAAAATATTAGGACAATTGGATTAATGATTGCAGAAGGTCAAATCTTTGATGCAGTTGTTGCAACGCCACAAATTTTTTTTTCCTCTGCAAGCAACAAATGCTGAAGCAAACAAGAGCTTCGCCATTAACCAGAAAGGGCACTACATAACATTCTGCTCCAAAAGTGCTTCCTTCACTTTGGGTGAGGAACAGTTCTTTAAACATGGTTTGCTGAAGCGGCTGCCTGTTTTATATCCTTACAAAGGATTTTCAGTTTTGAAATTAAAAAATCCTTCCTAGACAAAAACCAAAACAGATCTTTTTTAAAAAAGCAAATAAATAAAGATTTGTTATCACAACTTAAAAACAAGACATGTTCAAAGTGCAAGTTTTCTTTTACAAAGCCTAGCACCCATTCTCACTACCTCTCCCACACAGCACTTTTGCAGCCAGAGCAATGGTACAAAAGGATGGCACTCTTCTTGGAAAAAGAGAGCACCAGAGTGCCAGCATTATCCCCTCTCTTTCTTTACACCAGCAGAGGGGGTAAATGGGGGAGAGGGAAAAGAGATGCTGTTTTACAGCTCATTCTGCTGCGGGGTTCTAAAGTGCCAAGCTATATTCTCAAACCCTAGAAGGAAAGCTAAGAGCCTGCAAGGGTCAATGCATAGAATAGGATGGTGCAAGTTGAGGAGCAAAGGAGGGCTCTGAAAACAAAATACTGGTCCAGAGTACAAACACCTCCAATCTTGCAACATGGTCAAGAAGCAGGAAGTTTGCTTACTTTGGAGGGCAAGGAGAGGGAGAGGCTCTGGCTGCTTCCCTTTACTGCATTGCAAAAATTCCTTTGCTTTGTCAGTCTGCATAAAGGCAACATTCCTCTTCAAGAAAGGAATGGTGAAAGAATGTGTAGTGATCTGTGGGGGTGGGTGGGACGGAGCAAGGCAGAGGGGGGGAGAGGCCCTTTAGTTATTTGACTAGTAGTTTAATGTTATAGTTTCTCTATGTTGAACAGGTTTCCCCCATTTACCCTTTTAAATACAAGTTCATCTTGTTCCAACACACATGTGCTCCTTTTCCACTAAGGTCCTGCAGAATCAGAATCTTCAATTAGAACTTCAGTGGTAGCTCCAAGTATCTCTGAGTTCATTACTAGCCCTTCTGTGCTTTCCCCACTAGCATTGCCAACAAAGATCTTTCCATCGGCCATAAGATTGACCCGGTCACTCCCGCTGCAATACGCCTTAGCCATGCCATCAGGATTCAGCAGTAGACATTCTCCAGGAGTAGCATTTCCAATGGGATCTGGAAGAAGGGGAAGACCCTGGCTGTCAGTGGGCTGGATAATAGATTCTGGATTGGTACCAAGGATGTCAGTGCTGGTGATGAGTGCGCCTGCATTGGCTGCCAGTGCTTCAGCAATAAGCACCTCTGGGTGGCTCTTGGCCTTATGTGCTACAACACTGTCCTTCTTTTCAAACTTCTTTCCACAGATATTGCAGGAAAACTGATAAAATGTATCTGCATCATGCTTTTTCATGTGCCAGTTCAATGAGGCCTTCTGGCGGCAGGTGAATCCACAGATCTCACATCTAAAAAAAAAAACAAAAAACAGGGGTGGGGAAAATGACAGAAAGTTAATGAAGTTGGTGATTTGCAGAAGAAACATGAGTAGAATAGAAAGTGGCAGCTTCTTTAAAGGCCAAAGATCTCTCATGAAACAAGTAAGAAAGAAAAAATCACGACATTATGGTTGTTGTAGGATTTTCGGGCTCTCTGGCTGTGTTCTTGAAGTTTTTTTTCCTAACATTCTGCCAGTCTCTGTGGCCGGCATCTTCAGAGGACAGGAATCAGAACTCTGTCTGTGCTCTGGTGTTCTGACTCCTGTCAGAGACTGGCGAAACATTAGGAAGAAAAACCTCAAGAATACGGCCAGACAGCCTGAAAAACCTACAACCACCGTTGGATCCCGGCCGTGAAAGCCTTCGAGAATACAATCATGACATTACTTACTGCAATGGCTTCTCGCCTGTATGGATCATTCGGTGAACTGCCAGATTGTGAGAACTCTTGAAAGCACGAGCACAATATTCACAAATATAATCCCTTTGATCTGTAAAACAGCACACAGACTTACTCCAAAATTAGACCCAAAGCTGCACCTCTATTCCTAGTACTAATGTGGAAAATATTTTACAACTTTAAACAAATAGGTGGCTTTTTCATTACTGTAACATACAAAGGCTGAAATCCTGTTCCATGTGTTAAACTGTAAAACTCACATCACCAGCTGCAGTGATTTTTCTAAAATACCACATTAAGATCCCATCCCCAAGATCCCGAAGTCTCCCTTCTCATCATTGTGAAGCCATTAAGGGCTACAAGACAAGAGAAAATTTAACTACCAAAAACTGCTACCACTGGGATTTCTGCTAATTAGAGGCTTCCCCAGCCCATGGACTACAACAGCTCCTGAACAACAAAAGAGATTCCATGGGAGCTGTGATGGGAACCCTGACCAATCTGCTTAGTAATAGGGAAGCAAGGTGATTGGTTGAGTGGGTGGTGATGTGGCCAAACTATGCTGGAGCCTAAAGGTGATGAAAAAGGAAGAGTGTAACTAAAGAAAGATGTTTGTTTGTTCCTTATAACTGAAGAATTGAAGCTTAGATCTGTTCCCAAGTTGATGTTACTTTATAATAAAAAGACATCATTTCCATTCTGTGGCCACTGGGTCCGGTGTAGTTAATGGCTGTTGTCAAACACATTAATGGATAATCATTTTAAAAGGTGACAAGCTTGAGTTTGGGGCTAGTCACGGAAGCCTTTGGACCTTCAGGTACAAAACTGGCTGTGTTTGTATTTCTGAAAAAAATCCACCATTGGTTCTGACATCAGTCTTATGTGACATAACAGTTTTCAGTCAAAATGTTAAAATATCTATACTCATAAAATGGATTTACCGTATTTTTCGCACCATAAGACGCACTTTTCCCCCACAAACAGGGGGGTGGAAAGTCTGTGCGTCTTATGGAGTGAAGAAAACAGATTATATTTTCCTGTTTTCTTCTCCTAAAAAATTGGTGCATCTTATGGAAAGGTGCGTCTCATGGAGCGAAAAATACAATATATAGATGGTTAAAAAGTCTCATTACATGTGAAAGTTCTATACTATTTAAATAAATGTGTGTCTTCAAGTGAGTTCTGACTTATAGGTACATTTTTCAGGGTTTTCCAGATACAGTACTCAGGAATGGTTCGCCATTCCCTTTTTCTGTGGGCATCCTGAACTACGCAGCTTGCCCAAAGCCATATAGGCTGGTTCTCCTGGGATGCACAGTGGGGAACTAAATTCCCAACCTCTAGCTTTGCAGCCAGATACCAAACCCCCTGAGCTATCCAGCCCGCCCTCTATATTCTATTTATTCTGTATTAATGAAAAGATAAACAAGTTACCTTCTGTAAAGAGGAACTGTCAAAAATTGAGAGTTTTAAAGTGCTAATAAGGCTACCCCCTGAATGTAGACTATATACATCATTACAGTAATTACAGCAAATACAATGTCAAACCTTCTGAATTGGATCTACTTCTAAGAAGCATTTTAAAAATCTGAACTCTGAAATTCTACTGCTCTTTAAGCCTTAGACCCTGAAAACTGTACCCTTAAAAACAGGGTGGGTATAATAGCTAGAGATCTTGGTGCTTTACATACCTATTCTGGACCTCAGGGGGGTGAACTGAATTCAATGATGCTGACTCTCAAAATATTTCTTCCAAAAAAGGGACCTTTTTAAATTGAGAAAGCCCCAGTGCCTAAACATTATTATTAAAATTTCACTAATGTTAGGGACCCAGGTGGGGCTGGGGACTCCTTAAAAATAGCAGGAGTGGTCCTTGTGTATCCTAGACAGGACAAAGGAACCAAGACAAATGTTTTCAATATTTAACTTGGAGGTGCTGGGGGATCCCAGTGGTGGTAGCGGTGCATGTTGCCACCTTCTGCCTTAAAATGTTTCAAGAAGCATGTTTGTTCAGTTGTGACTAATCCATGGCAAAGCCTTTTAAACAGAATAAAGCAGCATCCACAGATGCTACACAATATACTAGTCCTATCATTCTGAACTATTTAGCAGCAGATCTTAACAAGCTAAGTGAAAGAAACAGGATGATCCCATTAATGTCCAATTACACAAATAGAACTCCATCTTAGTGCTAAACAATCTATTTCTGCTTCCTCTAAATCTCCCAATATTGCATTAATAACAAGGAGCTTCCAAACACTATGCACTTAACACCTGGATTACAGCAGCTGACATAACCAAACAAAATATTAAATTTTGTCTACAAAGTATCAAGGTTTTCGCTTATAACTCTAATTACCTGTGTGGTGCTTAGCATGTCGCAGAAGTTGTTTCTGGAGCCGGAAGAGTCGCCCACAAGAAGGATGAGGACATACATATTTCTTTTTCAGCAGATGCTGATATTTGATGTGATGCTAAAAACGAAGCAATTTAAGTTTATAAATAATAAAAACAGAAAAAAGTTTGCTGTTATAGTTCAACCTACCATTCTACACAATAGCAACCAGTCTTGATGCTTCAAGTTCAAGAACAGGGATAAGAACAGAATACATAAAGATTATTACTACTACTCAATTTATGCATTTAAGATTCAAGAAAAGCAGCAATGATTGCAGCAGGCCTTGGTGTGAAAGAAGACTCAGAGAAGAGACAAATTTCTGTCAGATTTCCATTCTTTGCCCCCAACCCCCCCCCCCCAAAAAAACAACCTGCTATTTCACTTAAAGTAAAGATCATTCCAAGCAAGGCTCAAAAATCTTCCTGAGCCCTTCCTTTATCTGTAAGGAAGTTAACTATACATTTACATATGTTACAGTTCCTTGACATTTTTTTAAATGTAGCAATTTCAGGAGAAGTATGGAAAGCAATATAAAGACAATTAATCCATTGTCCCACATCTATTTGCACATCTCCCAAGTACTCCAACTGGAAGGACATTTCAAGATATGCCAGTTGATATGGGGAAGTGTAAAGTATAAGCCACCCACTTCTGCATGCTCACATTTCTTCTTCCTACATGGTTTTCTGAAGTCCCATTAATGATTCTGTTCAAATTGGGCAACAGGCCCTAAAGTAGGAACTGAATGTTAAAGGGGAATGGTAAAATTACATTGTTGGATTAATACATGAGATACATTCCACAGAATGCGGGAGATTCTTGAAAGTAAGGCTTGGTTAACTGCTGTTAACTCACTTTGAACAGAAAAGTTATCATGCTGCAAAATGTACCGGTAAGTATAGAAATGGTTCTCTTAAACTGAACAACAAAAGGTTTCCATTCTATTGGGTTCCATCAAGGCTTGCCCTTCCATGAATGAAAATGCTCTGCTCCTTACAGAAGAGAACAAGGTCTAGTGGGATCCTTCCGCAAGAGGAATCAGGGAAGTCTCTCCCTCACACTCAGTACTAAATATAGTTCCCAACCAGGGACCTTCTCAGACATGTTTTTGAGGAAGAGGGAGGTACCTGAATCCAACAAAAATCAGTTTCTTGGTAGTAGATAACTGAGTGGGGTTACAATTATGGGCAAGTCTGTATTAGAACAAAATTAATACAAAGAAACTTGTACTAGAGAGAGCAACAGATATCAACACTCACAAACTGTGTATCCAAGTATTTATTTGCATTGTGCAATCTGTGAATGTGATCCTTTTGATCAAAAGGAGAGATACAATAGGTATAACAAGGAATTTACAGTGTGAAACACAGAAGCAGAGGGATGATTTTCAACTACAATTAAAATGAACCACTTAGGTTTAGTTAAAATAAAGTATAATGAATAAAGGGGTGATCCAAAGGCTTCCCCAAAAAGATTTATTTTGAGTAGGTATTTTAAGATACTAAGGGAGGTGTTGCACAGTGTAGTTGTGAGAAGCAGTTACAGGGCCAGCAACGAAAAATGTGTGGAAAATGTTCAGGGAGAAAGGTATTTTGGACAACCATGAATGATTACTGAAGGACCAGAAATGTTGAGAGTGCGAGTAAGCAGCACACTCAAACAGTTTAGAGGTAAAAATAAAGAAGAAAAATAGCTGGGAGTTGGAGGAGGAGGGTGGAACAAAAGCCTCTCTCAAAAAAAGGGAAAAAGCGGAATGTTTAAATACTAATAGAAGACAGAATGAAAAGATTGATAATGTCATTGAAAGCATGTATAAGAACATGGAAGACAGATAAATCAGGATGGTAACAGGATTGAGACGCTATGTGAAAAGTTAGATGAGTGTAAGAAGATAGTGCAAATGTGCCAGAAAAAAAAAGAATAAAGAGCTGCTGGAAGGTGAAGAGGCTGAAGTGGGGTTATAGACAATGAAAGATTGTATTAGTAAGTATTTTGTATTCTTGTATTTGTTTTGGAAATTTTAAAAAAATGTAAAAAAAAGGTGAAGAGGCAGAAGCCTGGAGAAGAAGTTGACAGATTAAAATGAATGAATTCAATTTTCACATTGCAGGAGACAAACTCTTGAACACAAGTTGAGGAAGGAAAGATGGAACAGTAGATTTTAGTAAACCATCAAAGGTAGAAAAAAAATACAGTTTGAAGTGGAACAGCCAAGCTGATTTATAAAGTCAACATGCAGTGGTGCCTCGCAAGATGAATGTAATTCGTTCCGCAAGTAGAACTGTCTTGCGAAAAAACTGTCTTGTGAAAAGCGGCTTCCCACAGAAATGCATTGCAAGACAAATGAATTTTTTTCATCTTGCGAGGCATCGGTCTCAAAAAAAAAAAAAAAAGAGCTTGTGAAGCATAGCCATAGAAGAAGCTGTCTTGTGAGGCACCATAGCGATTGGGGGGAAAACATTCGTCTTGTGGTTTTTTCATCCCACTAGGCGTTCATCTTGTGAGGCACCACTGTATTCTTTTGTTCTCCTTCAAAGGCAATAAATAAGTTACTCTCACCTGCAGATAGCGAGGGTGTGCAAGGACAGTGCCACATCCTTCCATTTCACAACGTACATACTGTATTGGTGGTTTCTTCCTAACACACACATAGCAAGGGAAGAGGAAGAAAAAATAGTACGCCACTCACTAATGTCACAAATGTAGTACAATATAATTTTTGAACTGATACACTAGTGAGAACCTATCTGCTACAAAAAGTGAGCCTTTTTAGAAGCCATCTATAGCACCTATGACCAAATAATACCTATGACCAAATATTTTTAAACACAGCTTAGGTAAACCACAAATGACTAATTAAGAAGCAGTGAGACTCAGAAAACCCACTGCACAAAAGGTGCCACATTGTTCTGTCCAATACAACTCTTTTACATTGGACTTCTAAAGGGGTATTTTAAAATATAAATGTCAGCCAGGCAAAGAAATAGCTCTAAGAAATACCAAGTACTTGGAATTCCATACTGCATGAAAGATGCCACTATTGCATTTAATTGTGGTTTATCACTGAGTCTATGACAGTTTGTTTTTTTTAACTGGTTGCCTGTAACCATTAAATGTTTTCAATATTGGTGTAAGCTATAAGCATTTCTTCCCTGCAGCATCACAATACTTCAAAATGAAAATGTTGTACTTCATCACCTGAAATTTAGTGAATAATGCTCTTAATTAGAAACTCAGTAGTGCAGGGCAAATGAAATGAAATACAGAAACTGCATAGAAGGGACTTGAACTAGGACTGGTAATTTAACCCCTCCTGCAAAAAGGCTGTATTCAAAGGAATTAATTAAAGATGGATTCTGAACCTCAAGGAGACCACAGTGCAAACTCAGTTGTTCTGTCTTCTCAGAGTGCACCCCATATACTACTACTTATAAAGAGCAATAAAAGAGAAAGCTACATGTGCAAAGATGTCACATCTGACTATCTGATCTCCCAAATTGTGTTGTCATTCACTGGGGGGATTTTTTTTTCTTATTATACACTGGATGTACATAAATACTAACTTTTGATGAGTAGTATTTAGTTAAGGACTCTGCATTGTTAAGTGAGAAGAAAAACAACAGCAACTCACCTCCTTTTTGGAAGCCGCGGGCTTTTATCATCTTTTCTCCTTCTCCCTCTCCTAGGGCAAGAACATCAAAACAGAATACAGTGCAAAAGACAAAAATAGAACAGAGCAAAATTTCAGACAAGATAAAAAACTGAAGAGTTCTTGAGCTTGTATGCTGATTAAAGAAGAAGACCACTATTAAACTAATGATCATCTGATTAATAATGATTTCCTGCAATAGATTACTTCCAGAAAGAAGGGTGGCAGGGGTTGATCATCTGATTAATAATGATTTCCTGCAAAAGAAGGGTGGCGGGGGTGGTTCGCCTTCCTTTTTTGTAAAAATGCAGCACAGAAATCACTACCCACATTAGTCTATTAAATTCTCCATGAAGGGAAAATTTCTTTTTATAAACATTTGTATAACAATTTGTGCAAGTTGTTTAAGATACAGATACTGTAGTACTGGACACTAAGAGTAGTTTTACAAAATGTGCTACAATGTTAATGAATGAAATCAAGATATTAATTATGACACATAAGATGTATTTAGAGGAAAAGGAGTATTCAAACCCAGGATCTTTTTTCATCCACAAGCCCTCTCAAATGTGTCCAGTGTCAAAGTTGACAGTGTTGACCACCTATTTAGTGCTAAACATGCCGTTCCCAATCCTGTGACACAACTATTAACATGGTTTCTAATTCTCGCGTGCTGAGATTTAGTGTCAAGAATTCACAATGTGGACAGATCAATTATATGTTTCATGAACTAGCAGTGCATGTATGCTGTCACTGGCCTCTGCACATGGACATCTCCCATAGGAATGGGGCAATAGTTTACAAAGGAAACAAGTGAGTAGTGCAATTAAGATGTTGCAGTGTGGAGGTTTTTTGTTCAGGATTCCAACCAGCAATCACCTTTTCAGGATACTCTACTCTGCTGCCTTTCTTCCCCCTCCCACGTTCTCATAGACATAATGATGAAAAAAGACCTCTTAAATGAGTCATAGAAAGACAAATTCATTTGGATTTTGCACCAGGGGATACCACACTGCCAAAAACAGAGGCATCAGTAAACCTGAGGCCCACCTTTCTCAGGCCACTTCCTGGGGACAAACAGAAGCAAAGTATTTACTGAAATATTTATTTTTTAAAAAATCAGTGTATAATAAAAACCGTTTCTCAGGCCACTTCCTGGAGACAAACAGAAACAAAGTATTTACTGAAATATTTATTTATTTTTTAAAAAATCAGTGTACAATAAAAACCATGCTGCTTGGACCTGTGCAATTCAAGGAAGGAGTGTAAATCGCACTAAAAACAATTGACTTTTATAAAAAAAGACTGCACTGCAAATTTAGGCCAACTACCCGATTTTACAAAAATAAAATTAGTTCTCCAAGGTGATTGGCTGTTAATAGTTATATATCAGTTATCAGTACTTTGTAGGTCTCATTTGAAGATGGGTTTATTGGAATCACAGCATCTTCTGTCAACATATAAACACTGGAGCCCTGTACACCATATTTTCTGTAATGCAAAAGGATGTAGTTGCTCTTCCAACCATCAAGGAGCACTGCTGTCTTTTTAACATGACCTGTCAAACAATTATCAAAGAGGGAACTAAGCAGCAAAAGATTTAAATGGAAAACCACATAACATTACTTACTTCCTAGGTGGTTCCTCATCTTCCCGAAACTCACTTTCTTCTTTTACTTCCACTTCTACTTTAATCTCTTTCTGTTTTTCTTCTTTACCCTTCCCAGTTTTTTTCTTTTGCTTTGGAGCTTCCCTGCATATACAGATAGCAGACACTGATACACAAGAAACATCTTTAGGTGTGCATGTGCACTATAGTTCAATCTGATGTTAAAGTCTCAAGGTAATTTTTCTACATGGACTTTTAGGCCAGAATCCCATTATGTTTTTACAGTGGTGAATTCCCACAAATTAAGAATATAGCAAAGGCATTTGTTGTTGTGTCCTTTTTTATTTATTTCTGCAAATGCCTAGGCTAGTGGTTCCTAAACTTTTTTTGCTCCCTGCTCTCCTAAGCAGTGGTTTTAGAGCAGCAGCGAGAAACAAGCAGGAAGGAGCCAGAGACAGCTAGAAGAGCAGCAATAGCACCATTGCTGGCTTCCGCATTACTCCTGGCTGTTTTCGCAGTGCTTCAAGGAGCTGTGGGGCACTGTGAAGGGTGGTGTGTGCTACGGAACCACTCTGGGAAGATCAGGTGTTGCTCCTGGCTGGTTTGGCAGCACACTAAAAAAACACAGGAATAGTGGATCCTACGGCACACACTTTGGGAAACAATGGCCTAAGCTGACTCGTTAACTTGGAGCAATTTGCCACTGAGATTTATACTGAGTACACCAAAGGGCATAACCAGCAAGATTGGGCATCAGATACTTAAGCCTTTCATGCTTCCCAACCCTGTAATTACTGAACAAGCATGCCTCTTGGTTTTACCATTTTTACTGTCTAGTTGCTCATGACTAGAAAAACATAATATACTGTACAGATATTTTAGTTTTGAGTCCCAACAGGGAAACATGAGGCCAGCTTTCAACATGCAAGAACAACATACAATCTCACTTCCTGTAAAACAGAACAAACCACCTGTCTAAGTGGGGCTTATAAGTTTCATCTCTCGGATCATCTTTGAAGGGAGCATCTTCTTCACTGATGAACATTTCTTCATCGCTACTAGTGGAAAATAAAAGAAACAGAATGTATTAATGAATCAACATATTCCTGCACAAAGAAGAACATAATATAGACATCAGAATTTTATCCTATGTTGTATACTGAATTATTACATACACTGAGCAAACAAGAGTATTGCAGTAGACTCAGTCTCTCCATCAAGGGCACAATAGGTTTTATAATATGTAACAAAGAGAACATACTAGTCAGCCACTTACTAAAGGGTTATGGCCAGCCCCAAGATATAGATTCCAATTATCCAATTTTTTTAAATTCCAATCATATAAAAAAAAGAATTACTATACTACTCAGCAAAATAATCAAAGCAAAATTAACTCATCTAAAACAGGGGTGTGGAAAAAAGCAGTCTATGGATTCCATAAAGTCCCAATGTTTCTCTCAAACTGTCCAAAATATATCAGCAACAGAATAGAAAACCCCATCACTAATTTTAAAGTAATCCTTATGATTTGTTCCGGAAATTCCATGGCAAGCAGTAAAGTTCCCTTTTAAGCACGCATTTCCTGCTTGATTTAAAGGAATGTTCCCTGTCTACTACTGAACTATGCTAGTGCAACTTCAAGAAGGAGGCAGCACGTTTCAGTGAAAGAATGGTGCTCCTGCAAAAGTTGTCACTCCAATTACCATCTACCTATGTTTTCCCATCATTTCTGTGGTACATATTTTCTATCTTCTTAAGAGTGCCTAAGTCCTCTGAAAGATAGCAACTCAGACTCAAGACAAAAGTGAACCAGTAAGTTAATAAAAGAAAAAAGAGCAGGCAACGGAAACCTTAACTGTTGTTACAATTATCACACAAATGTATCAAGCTACTGTTATCTATATGCAGCCCTAGCGCAGTGCGATCAGGGCAAATCTGGAGTAATAAACTTCAACTTTGCACACCAAAACTGATTCCTCACATGGAGCAGAAAGGGGTTTTTTTGCTTAAGACCTGGTATCCACTACATAAAGATCTCTGACTGTTCTGCTATCTCTAATGCATCTCCAGTAAAATCTTACAGGAATGACCACAGAGCTATGGGAAAGGTGAGGTTCAGGAGTCTTGAGTTTATTTTACTTATGAGGAAACTATAGACTACATATAAATTATCTGTATTTCATATTACCTGATTCCAGTTGGGGATGAGTGCTCTTCAGTGATCTCTGAAAAAGGAAAGACATCTATCTATATATATATATAGAAGTCTGGACAGCCTGTAACTCAGAACTTACAAAATCTAACAATATGCTGCTGTGCTATAGGAAAGCAATGTAAGATGCCAAAATGCTACACCATGGAAAAAATGGAGCAGCCATTTCCAATTTTACAGAAAAGGAACAAAAGAGGTGGAAATGACATCTCAAAAGATTTACAGCAGTGGTTCCTAACTTTGAGTAACCCAGGTGTTCTCGGATTGCAGTACTCAGAAGACTTCACCAGCTGTGTTGGCTGAGGTTTCTGAATTGCAATCCAAGAACACCTGGGTTACCCAAGGTAGCGAACCACTGATCTACAGTAATGAAATGAGGTGTTACCCCAATGAGTAAGTTCCATCTTAACTACTGAATGATCATGATAATCTACTGTTGCATACTTTTATAAAGAGCCACTTTTACAAGGTCATACTGAGAATACATCGTTTGCAACAATAAAAAATTCCTCCTATAAATTGTAAGGTTTATGCTACCTATTGAGAGGCCAAATGTTTTTATTTTCTAACAAAAGAAAACAACCATACCAAATTCTAGCTGGTCTGTGTTTGGTTCCGACTTGCAGATGAGCTGCAGGGACCCGGTCTTGGATCTAGAGCTCCTTGAATTCTCTGCATCACCTTGAATAGAGGCAGCTGCCCTGTTGCTACGCCAGCCCCGACTAGGCCTGGCAGTACTGACTGGGGTTCCAGCAGCAATAATACTGGAGACTTCTTCCTCTTCTGCCTCTTCTTTGGGATCTACAGTATAAGCATATGTAATGAAAGATGCTGATCAAAGAGGGACAGCACCCCTCCCTTGTGTTTTTAGAATCATACAGATGGAACTGCCCATAAACAACTTTACACTTTTTGTTTAAAAAAAGCGAATGACACAGGGAAGGCCTTCTCTGTTGCTGCTCCCATACTCTGGAAATCCCTCCCACAGGAAGCTAGGCTACCCCCATCACTGCTGTCCTCCTAAAAACAGATAAAGACCTTTCTCTTCAGGCAGGCTTTCTCTTAAGAAGTGGTAGTTTGAGAGGGTTTTTTAAATGGATTGTTGTGCTCTGTTTTAAAAGTGTTTTAGTACTCATTTTGTTACTGTAATACCTGTTTAATTCTTTTTAAATATTTGTAAACCTACTGTTTTTAGCTTTTGAATATTGTCTTTTTAATTATGTAAGCCACCTTTGGATTCTTTTAAAGGATAAAGGCAGGCTAAAAATACTTTCAATACATTAATTTTGTAGTCATTTAAGCTCGGGCACATTTAAAAAACAAGTTCATGCAGTCAACTATTACTACCCATGATGTAATGTCCTGAAGCAATACATCTTGATGTTCAAATGTTGGAAACAAGAGCTATCATTAGCAACATTCTGAGCTTCATTCAGAAACATTTGGACACTTACTAGGTGCTTATAGAGTGCTGGGTTAAACAGACACTTTTCTTCTAGTCTAGCAAAAAAGGTTTTTCCTCAAAGGACATTCAAATCTTACCTTTTACTGCAGCTTTGTCCAAGTACCTGAAATAAATATTAAAAACATAAGATGTTAACGAAACATCATGAATGATAAGAGTCAACTAAAACGGCATCACTTCTTCTGTAAATATATGTCACTTTGCTGATTTACTGTTAGCAAGAAGTATCTGGATACTTCAGTATTTACAATGCTGGACTTGGAAGGCTTTGGTTGGAATCCCCACTTAGCCATAAAGCTTGTTTCGAGCCACTCAACATCTCCAAGCTTAACCTCCCTATAAGGTTTGATAAGAGGATAAAACTGGGAAGGAAGCATTATACACGCCACTTCAACTTCCAATAGAAAGAAAAAAACAGGTATGAACACAGTAGTACTGTAGTAATAACACGAATGATTATGATGATAAGCACACAAGAAGTAAAAGCTACAAAGAATTTTTGTGGTGATCACTGTGAAATATTTTAGACACAAAACACGTTTTCCAAATCTAAGCACACAAGAAGTAAAAGCTACAAAGAGAAGAATTTTTGTGGTGATCACTGTTTGTGAAGTATTTTAGACACAAAACAGGTTTTCCAAATCTCTCTCTGAAATACACAGCCTCTTCATTCCATGTCCCTAAGTTAAGTTGTCTTAACTCAAGTCATGGAGTAGATCTGTAAGAATTCCATTTCCAAATTTTATATCAAACCCAGTAGCACAATACATACAAATATACCTGCTGGCATCCAAACAAAGCTGATTTTACTCCCAATCTACAATATCCCTAAGAACATTTCCTGAGAAGGAAGTTTAATTTAACAGTGAGTAACTGGCATCCAAATAAAATGCAGGATTCCAATACATACTGGGCATTAGTTGGCCTTTTCAAGTGCTTATGTGTCACACAAAAAACACCTCGTTAAACCACCATTAGGCCAAGAATGAAACAAAATATGACTGCATCCTAATACTACATAGCTGTTAGCGGTTTTAGAAGTTCAGTACAGCAGCACAAGAAACTAAACAAGAACACTAAAACATTAAAGCTACTTTAATGAATTAAACTACAGTATCAAAATGTTATTTAAAAACACAGAAGGCTACGGGGTGGGTTGGATGAAAGGGTAAAACAGAACTAAACGTCATATAAAGTTCTAGTGGCATGTGGAATACAGTGACAATATGCTTCCGAATGCCGAAAGACAAAAACAAACAAGCTAAGGCTGCTGCCTTGTCTTCCTTCCGGCATTGGGCCAACTGTTATGAGTTACACCGTATGAAGGTTAGGCGGCTTTTAATCTTCGGCTGGAATGCATTTCTAGGTAGCCACCCAGCATTTTTGTGTTTAGGGCAAACCAGCGTTAACAGCCTTCCTCCAGCCCTCCCCTCCCCCCAGCCCCCGGAGAAGTCTGGAAAGAGACGAACAGAAGAGCTACTCACGCGCCGCGCGGGGTCCCCTTCTTGCAGGCGGCGGGCGGAGCGGCAGTTGGTGGCGGTTCCTCCTCAGCCCCGGCAGCAGGTGTGGGCTCCTCAGGCTCCTGGCTCTGCCGGCCGCCGGGACTGTTGCGGCGCCGTCGGGGATATTCGGCCTTTCTTCGGCGTGAGGCGGCGGCTGCAGCAGCAGCAGCGGCCGCAGCGGCAGCCGCCCGTCCGCGGTCCCGGCCTCCCCGGAGCCCTCGGCTGCCGCTAGACTCCTCCCCTTGCTCGACAGCGACGGTGGGAGGGGGCGGGGGACGCCGGCGGCCGCTGGGAGGCGGAACCCGCTCCTCTTCTCTCTCTTGCGGCGGCGGCGGCTGCGGCTCTTCCTGCTGGGTCTCCGCCTGCTCGGACGCCCCCGGCATCAGAGCAGTTGGCGGAGGGGACCCCAGCCGCGGTTCCCCCCTCTTCCTCCTGTCAGCTGCGCTCTGCGCTCACCCCGCCTCTCTACGACACGACCCCCCTCGTTCGCCCGCGAGCGAGCCCAATCGAGCACAAGTTCAAAGTTGAAGCGGCACGTAAGAGCTCCCGACGCCAGCCAATCAGGAGGAAAGATACAAGACACACCCCACCCACCCCTTCGCGAGTCAACCAATTACAGCAGTAAGCCGGGTAAGCCAATCAACTGGCGAGTCTCATCGGGAACCAGCGCGTGCACGCGCTGTCTGAATTCTGGCCGTGGCGCGCGCTCTTCGTAAAACTGAAGCCGTTTAACAGTTATCCCCTCACGCGCCAAGTTAAACGCTCTCAACTGCTCATTCGAAGATATATCCTTATGGAGGTTCCGCGCGCCCTTCCGTATAATATTTGAGGCTACGCAAGGGTCACTGTTCCTTAAAAACAGTTCGTCCTGTAGTAATCGCCCCCTCCCGTAGTTCGGGCCACAGAGCTCGCCCTGAGCCTCTCCTTTTAAGGATGAAAGGAAAAGAAAGACGGTACCTTTCCAAAATCTGTTCCTTCGTTTTCACATCATCCGCTCTTTCCGAAGTTTCATGGTCGGGATGGATTTAAAAAAAACATTGTAGCTTCTCCTTTAAGAAAAAAAAGCACCGCCGTGCGGCGGGCGAAAGTCAGCGACAAAATGGCGTCCGAAATAGGGAAGGCGGAGCTGAAAGAGCACGCACGCATTTCCGTTCTTACTTTCGGAACTGCGCAGGCGCAAAGCTTGCTAGCTTTCGGGGTGTTGTAGTTTTTGATATATACAGGCGCATGTGAAAGGTCACCGCAGCCATCACTGTTCGAAAAATTTCCGGTCTCCGATTGGTGGAATTATGTGCTTGAGGTGCGCGATAGGTTGGATTATGTCAAAAATTGAACCAGACCTTTCAGTAATACAGGGAGTATTACAGAGTACTATTATTCATCTTCCGTTCTTCTGCAGGGCCTTGAAATGACCTTATAAGTTCAGAAGAAACGTGCAAGCTTCTCTTAACAGGGCTTTGAGTAGTTCTACCCCGTTCTTCGTTTGAAGAAAAGGCCCTAGGATGCTCTGCAAAGATTTGCAATGACAATCTTTATCTCAGGCTTTATGGAATACGTGATCTAATATTCTATTGCTAGTCCCACTAGTAGACCCAATGCACCGGGGGATGTATGTTTTTGCTAACCATTCAGGAACTGATTCAGTGGGTTTTACTTGTACTGTAGAAATGAAGACAATGCAGTTGTTTAGTTATTAAGCAAAATGGAGACTGCAGCCAAGAAATCAAAAGGATTTTGACAGCCATGAAGGAAATGAAAACCTCAGGAGTAAAGATTCGACACTAGAGGCCGAAGTCAACATCATTAGGCTTCCTTACTGCTGTCTACAATAAAAAAAATCTGTCAGAAAAAAATTTGGCTCCTTTGAAATGAGTTATTGGAGAAAAGCTTTACAAATCCTATGAATGGCCAAAAAGACAAATGAGTTCAAGCTTAAACTGCCACTAGAATCAAAAACTACTAGAAGAGTATTATTCAGCACTAACATTGCTAACCATTGGGTAGGGCTATTGCAATTCATTCTTTGTGGGGCTGCTGTTAAGTTGGACTGGAAATTGCAGCTGGTGCATCATCAGCTAGGCTTTGAGTGTGGTGCTCGCAAGCAGCATTACAACATGCTAATAGAGATGCACTGTTTGTTCCCAGGCTGCATTGAAGACATTGTTATTAGTGTATAAAGATCAAAACAACTTGGGACCTAGTTACCTAATGGACATCCTTCCTCTTTATTGATGCTGTTTGAGGTCTTTGGATAGGTGGTCACCCTAACATCCACTCTGATATGTAATTTGTTCCTCACTATGTGAAATACTCTTCTCTGTTATTAGACATGCTATGATAATTCTTATTTTTAGATCTGTACTATAATATGTTCTATCAAGTCAATTCTGACTTACAGTGATCCTTTTTTCAAGGTTTTCCAGGTTGAGAATACTCAAATGTGATTTACCATCCCCTCCTTCTGGGGATATCCTGAGTCTGTGCAGAGGCACATAGGAAATCAAACTCCCCACCTCCAAATACCTAAATCACTATCCAGCCAGCTTGACATGTACTATAGACTTAGCTATTCTAACAAGGCTTCCCAATATAGTTCAGCTAACTGTTCATTTTATGGATAATGTATTTATTTATTTAAAGTATTTTTAGCCTTCCTTTCTCCTAAAAAAGAGTTCAATGCAGCTTACATCATTAAAACACAATATATAGATATTGTATATTTGTTATATGTGTTTTTTTCTATTGCATGTTTTATTGTCATTGTACAGATCTAAAATCTTCAAATGTGAAAGATTTATAACTATTTGCAGATAAACAGCAGTTCAGTTTTCTGGAATCTAATATATCAGACCTGCATCAGAATTTGATACATTAATACTTACAAACAAATTTTCCTGAATTGGATTCAGCAAAGTCCTCCCATGTCCAGAAGAGTTTCATTCATTAGTAAGAGACTGACTGAAATCTAGTAGTAAGTTGCATCTACAACAGGCCCCAATAGAACTTATAGAGGAATTGACTCACCAGATCCTTGCTGATTCAATGGGCCTACTTTAGTTGTGTTTTACTGTTGGATTTCAGCAGTTTGCTTGAGCTGCACTTTTCCATTGGTTTAATAGGGCAAGAGGTGATTTGTTTGCCAGATTCCCCCTTTCCCTGTGTCCTCGATTGTCTGCTCAAAAGAGCTCAGCAGTCCTCTGGAGAAATGGGAGAGTTGATGTTATGGATTGCAGAGGGAGAGGAAATTGTTGGAAATCACCTTACTCCTAGTAGTGGGATTGTTTTCAGTGGAACTCCACTCACAGACATCCCTACCAGAAGTGTCACATTCCAAATCCAATCCATTGTGTCCAGCAGAGTGGGCAGAGCAATCTTAATCCACATTTACATGTGTGTGGGAGATCTTCTGCAGACACTATTGGCAAAAGAATAATCAGATCCGCTAACCTGACACTTCACCAAGGGTTGGACAGGAGATGCAGCTTTTTCTTTTTTCCTTGACTAAAATGAAAAGGAATTAAATGTGTGTGTGTTCTGTGCCATCAAGTTAGAAATGACAGCGACCCTAATAGGGCTTTCCAGGTAAGTGAAATCTTTAAGAAGTAGTTTTACCAGATCTACTCCCCCAGTGAGTTTCCATGGCCAAGTGGGGATTATGAACCCTGTTTTCCAGAGTCCTAGTCCATCACTCTGTCCACAACACCACAATGGAAATCCATGTAATTCAGTAGTAGCATAAAATTATACTGAAAAATTGTGCTTCAAAACATTGTGGAAGGACTTGCCATTTAAAATCTATCACACTCTCCTCTGACCTGTTTCAGGCCCAAAATAGCCTTTTAAGAAACTGGAAGTTTTTAAGGTCACTTCTACAACTCCCAGAAATCCTGGCCAACACATCTAGTGGTGAAGGCTGGAAATTTTAATCCAGGAATATCTGGGAATGCAAGGTAAAGGTAAAGGTTCCCCTTGACATTTTCAGTCCAGTTGTGTCCAACTTTAGGGGGCGGTGCTCATCTCGTTTTCAAGCCGTAGAGCCAGCGCTTGTCCGAAGACAGTTTCCATTGTCATGTGACCAGCGTGACTAGGGAATGCCATTTTACCTTTCCACCAAGGTGGTACCTATTTACTCGCATTTGCATGCTTTCGAACTGCTAGGTTGGCGAGGAGCTGGGACAAAGCGACGGGAGCTCACTCCCTCGCGTAGATTTGATCTTACGACTGCTGGTCTTCTGACCCTGCAGCACAGGTTTCTGCGGTTTAGCCCACAGCGCCAACACATCCTTACAGTGCCACCACGTCCCTCACAGTGCCACCATGTGCAAGGTTAGGAACCACTAATTTAAAACAAGGTTGATAATCTTTGCAAGCCATGGCTGTTGCACATTTTCTGTCAGCTGCTGTAGCTTCTGTACAATATTAACAAAAATGGCTATGTCATCCATCAGAATTTTTTTAAAAATAGTGATGCTAGTCCATGACAATGAAAAATTGTCGAAATGACTAGATAGGCGGGGTATAAATAAATAAATAAATAAACAAACATTGTGTCACTGCAATGTGGAGAAAATCAGCATCTGGAAGTGGTTTTGAAAGAAGTGTAGATCCAGCCTGAAGATGGTAGGGGGAAAACAAGGCAATCTAAAGATGTGGAGAAATTTAGTTAATGGATATCTGATTTGCAGTTAAATTCTGACCCATAGTGGACATCTCAGGCTGAATGAGTCACTGGTAAGAGCCAAAAGCCAGCATGCTTCCGGAATTTTGCTTGGTATTAATAAAGTTATGCCCATTTGTCAGTTTTTATTTTATTAAAATTATAATAAAAGTATGATTTGATCACCATAACATCCTGAACAGATCCATTTTGTCTGGATGTAGAAGCTAAACAGGGTTGGATCTCATTAGTAATTGGATGAAAGAGTTTGGAATCACAGGATCTTCAGAATCATTATATAAACATTTAAGCCCTGTACAGCATATTTTGTAAAACTCAAAAAGCTGTAGTTGCTCTTTAGAATGTTGAGGCCTGTTGCTGAAAGTAGTGTTTGTTCATTGATCGGTGCACAACTCTAAGTAAGAACACATTTGTATTCGTTGTCCTACTAATGTGTCAGAGTGAGTTGGGCTGGATAGCAAGTGCTGCACAATTGGCTACAGAATCAGAGGGTGATGATTAATGGGTCCTTTTCTAACTGGGAGGAGGTAACAAATAAGATATCCCAAGGCTCAGTCCTGAGCCTGGTGCTCTCCAATATGTGTATTACTGACTTGCATGAGGGAATGTAGCGAATGCTTGTCAAATTTACAGATTATACCAAATTGGGCAGAATAGCTAATATCCTAGAACAGAGGTCCCCAACTCCTGGTCTATGACCCGACAGTGGTCTGCGGCCTATCCAGGACTGAGCTGTGCACACAGATCTCCTATCCCCCCCATGAATGCTGTCGCATGTGCAAGAGAGAGATAAAGAGAGTGCACATTCCACCCCGCGAGTGTGCCGTGTGCATGTGCGTGAGTGGGCCCCCCATGTGAGTGTGGCAAGTGCATGAGCAAGCTCCGCCCCCCTGCAAGTGCACCATACACACCCAACCGGTCTGCAGTTGGGAAAAGGTTGAGGACCACTGCCCTAGAAGACAGAAACAAAATTCAAAATGACCTTGATAGGATGGAGCACTGGGCCGAAAGCAGCAAAATGAAATTCAACAGGGATAAGTGCAAAGTCCTGCACCTCAGAAAAAGAAACCAAACACACATTTACAAGATGGGGGACCTGGCTCAGCAATATTGCGGGCAAGAAAGATCTTGGAGTCATTGTAGCTGACAAGCTGAATATGAGCCAACGGTGTGATGTGGCTGCAAAAAAAGCAAATGCTATTTTAGGCTGCATTAATTGAAGTATAGTTTCCAAATCCCATGAGGTGCTAGTCCCCTTCTATTCAGCACTGCTTAGGCCTCACCTTGAGTATTGTGTTCAGTTCTGGACACCACACTTCATGAAAGATGCTAACAAATTGGAACAAGTTCAGAGGAGGGTGACAAGGATGATCAGGGAGCTGGAAACCAAGCCTTATGAGGAAAGGTTGAAAGAATTGGGCATGTTTAGTCTTGAGAAAAGAAGACTGAGGACTGATATGATCACACTTTTCAAATATTTG